TCTTTTTCCGTAAGCCATGCGGTCGTAAGAGGTGATGAAATCCCAGGAAAAAGAGCAGTAACCCCCTCCTGTATAAATTTACTAAATTTAAAAAGAAAAACTTTCTTTTTTTAAGGTCACCCTGCCTTGGTGGGATACAGCCCCTTTGTTAAAAAAAAAAGTGTATCAAGTACTTATTTTTCACATTCATTCTCTCATCTTGCTTCCACTGTAATTGAAAAGTTTTGGCTCTCACTTACTTGCTTGCTCCCCTTTTCAGCTGCATGTTCTATGCTTTGTTTTGCAGGTACGTGTAGCATAGTTGAATCTCTTCAAATCTGTAATGCTTGAAACTGGTGGGGCTTTGGATTATCCAATGTTTGAGGCCTAAAAGGGAGTGTCAACCCCTTTCTTCTCTCCCACTTCTCAAATCTTTTAGGATTTTAATGTGTCATGAGTTGGAAAGTTGAGCAAAACAAAGAGAAGGAAATTGCAATAAATTGGTTATTATATGCATATACACCTACCATCCGACTTACGACCTGCTCGACTTACGACCACTGACTTACGACCATGTTTTTTATGCCAATTTTGGGAAATAAACAACTATTTGTGTTGTACACAGTGTTTATCCTAAGCCTTACAGTATAAAATACAGTACTAACAACATAAAAAGTAAAGTAAAACATGAAATACCAAAATAAAACAATAAAATAAAGTCATTACAAAAATGTTTTGTTGATATTCAGTAGTAAAGTTCGACTTACGACCATTTTGACTTAAAACCCGGGTTTTCTGGGAGATTTTTTGATATTTCTTCTTTCTTCTTTCAAACACACCGGCCGTATCCCACCGAGGCAGGGTGGCCCAAAAGGAAAAATGAAAGTTTCTCCTTTTACATTTAGTAATATATATAGGGGAAGGGGTTACTAGTCCCCTGCCCCCGGCATCTTAGTCGCCTCTTACAACATGCATGGCTTACGGAGGAAGAATTCTGTTCCACTTCCCCATGGAGATAAAAGGAAATCAACAGGAACAAGAAAATAGAAAGAAAATAGAAGAAAACCCAGAGGGGTGTGTGTATATATCTTGTACATATAGGTAGTAGGTTGGGTAGGTAGTTTGGTTGGTAGAAAGCAACCACCCAGGGGGGTACACCGTCCTGCCAAGTGTGTGTGAAATGGAAGCCTGTAATTGTTTTACATGATGGTAGGATTGCTGGTGTTTTTTTTTTTTTTCTTCTCATAAACTGCAAGTTTTCGGTATTCTTGCTACTTCTACTTACATGGGCACACTAAAAATCATGTAAAGCACATATATACACACCCTCTGGGTTGTCTTCTTTTTCCTTTCAGTTTTCTCTTTTTTTTCCCTCTTACTCCATGGGGAAGTGGAAAGAATTCTCCCCCCCGTAACCATGCGTTGTAAGAGGCGACAAAAGCTGGGAGAAAGGGGCCTAGTAACCAAAAAAGAAACTTTCGTTTTTTTTTTTTTGGGCCACTCTCCCTTGGGGGATATTCCGTTTGGTTAAAAAAAAAAACAAATCTATAAATATCAAAGATGGGGTATGGGTTTGGTAGACAGCAACCACCCGGGGATGTACTCCCGCCTGCCAAGTGAGTGTAAAAAAAAGACCTGAATTTTTTTTCATGATGTAGGATTGCTGGTGCTTTTTTTCTTCTCATAAACATGCAAGTTTTTAAATACGTCTTGCGCTTCTTCTTCACTTAGGCCACTACACATTATTTCTTTCTTTCTTTTAACAAACCGGCCCCTATCCACCGAGCGGGGGGCCCCAAAGGAAAACGAAAATTTCTCCTTTTACATTTAGTAATAATAAAGAAAGGGTTTCTAGCCCTTGTCCCGGCATTTTAGTCGCCCTTACAACAGCATGGCTTACGGAGGAAGAATTCTGTTCCACTTTCCCATGGAGATAAGAGAAAATAAACAAGAATAAGAACTAGAAACAAAATACAAGAAAACCCAGAGGGGTGTGTATATATGTGCTTGTACTTGTATGTGTAGTGTGACCTAAGTGTAAGTAGAAGTATCAAGACGTACCTGAAATCTTGCATGCTTATGAGACAGAAAAAAGGACACCAGCAATCCTACCATCACATAAAACAATTACAGGCTTTCGTTTCACACTCACTTGGCAGGACGGTAGTACCCCCCTGGGTGGTTGCTTTCTACCAACCTACTACCTACCCAACCTATTACCTACATGTACAAGCATATATACACACACCCCTCTGGGTTTTCTTCTATTTTCTTTCTAGTTCTTGTTCCTGTTGATTTCCTTTTATCTCCATGGGGAAGTGGAACAGAATTCTTCCTCCGTAAGCCATGCGTGTTGTAAGAGGTGACTAAGATGCCGGGAGCAGGGGACTAGTAACCCCTTCCCCTATATGTATTACTAAATGTAAAAGGAGAAACTTTTGTTTTTCCTTTTGGGCCACCCTGCCTCGGTGGGATACGGCTGGTACGTTGAAAGAAAGAAAGAAGTAAAAGGAGAAACTTTCGTTTTTCCTTTTGGGCCACCCTGCCTCTGTGGGATATGGCCAGTGTGTTGAAAGAATAAAGAAGAAATATCAAAGAATCTCCATGGGGAAATGGAGAAGAATTCTTCCTCTGTAAGCCATGCCTGTCATAAGAGGCAACTGAAGTGCTGGGAGCAAGGTGCTAGTAAGTCCTCCTGTATAAATTACTAAATTTAAAAAGGAAAAGTTTCGTTTTTCTTTTTAGATCACCTTCCTTGGTGGGATATGGTGTGTTAAAAAAATCAAAGAAACATGATAGAGGTGTATCCTTTTAGATTATAATATTACGCTTCTGGATTTATTTTTATTAAAGAGGTTAATTATCATTATTTTGTGTTTCAGCTGTGCCGCGTCTTATACAGCACACTTGTGTGAACATCGCAGAAACAGTACGGGGAGAAGTTGAATTTTTGACTAATGATTGCAACAAGCGCATGGCTCAGGTCATGTACCAAACCTTCGTCATAGTTTACTACACAACCCTCATACCGTGCTTCTTTGTTCCGTGAGTATATATCTAACATACTGTATGTATTATGGTATTGTAATATTGAACCATGCATCACAGACTGAAATTCTAGACTGGTTCTGCTTTAGACAACTTATATTTTTCTTTAATTTACATCATACATCACATGCTCATTTAAATTTGTATTGCAGAGTCCATTGTATTATGATGTTCCATGGGTTTCATTTCATATTGTATTTGTGACAAGTACATGCTTTATATGGCATCTACTCTACTGTTACCCTGCAAGGTAAGCATTTTGTATATAATTTTTTTTTCAATGTTCTGTCTGTCTCCCACTTGGACAAGGCGACTCGAAAAAGAAGAAAACTCTAAAATTTTTCTTCTTTTCATATTTAGTAATTTATACAGGAGAAGGGGTTACTTTGTATATAATATTCAATGAAATATAGAGCACTTTGAGTAAGCTAGAATAGGTTGCTGTAGTCTGGACAGTTTTTCCTGTGATAACTATCTTCTCCAGGGTATCTCAAGCAATGACTTATTGAAGATTTGACTTGTGATGCCCACACACTTCTTGACAAGACAACAGTTGAATGAATTATGATGAATAAATTATGGTGTCTACTTTGAGTCACTCTGTCTAGGTAGAAAATGGTTGAAATTTAAAACTATTGGTGTACGGTACAGGTGGACCCGGTTATACAGCAGGTTAGGTTCTGGGGTACTGTAGGGCCCTGCTTATACAGTAGGTGAGGTTCTGGGCTACTGTAGGGCCCTGCTTGTACAGCAGGTGAGGTTCCATGCTACTATAGGGCCCTGCTTATACAGCAGATTAGGTTCTGGGCTACTGTAGGGCCTCGCATATTTAGCAGGTTAGGTTCCAGGGCTACTGTTGTAAGGTGAATCATAGCCTTTTTTCACTTTCAAATGCATATAAAATCTTGATAACATGTTTACACTATCATATACACTCACCATCTGACTTAAACCTGAGCAAGATACGACCACTCGACTTACGACCGTGCTTCTGGCAGCAGGGCTTCCAGATGCACGGTCAGATGCAGCAGTATAATATGAGCCTTTACTGACATAGTTTCGCCCACACAAGTAGAGGTAGTAGTAGTAGTAGTAGTTATACATGTGGTGGAAAAGTCAGCTGGTACATGAGAAAGAAAGGTTACTAAAGCTATGGCTTGGGTAGCATAAAAAATAGGTTGAGCAAATGTATATGGATGGATGGATTTGAGAAGGCATGCCCAGTTTGGGCCAACAGGCCTACTGCAGTGTTCCTCCTTTCTTATATTCTTATGTAATAGGGAAGGGACACTGAAACATGCTTTACAAGACTAAGATTTAATCTTTGAAGTACCCCTATTGGCAATTTTCTAAGGTTCGACTTAGGTCCATTTTGACTTATGACCGGTTGGTCGGAACCAAGCTTGGTTGTAAGTCGGGTGGTGCCAGTATTAACCCTTTGACTGTTTTAGTCATATATATACATCTTACGAGGTACCGTGTTTGACGTATGTATACTCATAAATTTTAGCGGCTTCAAATCAAGCAGGAGAAAGCTGGTAGGCCCACATGTGAGAGAATGGGTCTGTGTGGTCAATGAGTGCCATATAAAAAAAATCCTGGAGTATGCAGTGCATAATGAGAAAAAAAAACTCCGACTGTTTTTTTAATTAAAATGCCGACTTTGTGGTCTATTTTCGTATAGTATTTATGGTTGTATTCTCGTTTTCTTGGTCTCATTTGATAGAATGGAAAACATATTATAGAAATAGAAGCGATTTTGATTGGTTTTATTATGAAAAGAACCTGGAAATGAAGCTCAAAGTAGGAGAAATGTTTGATTTTTGCTGATGTTCAAAAGTAAACAAATGATGTCATTGTCTATTAGATGTCCAACTAGCCATTCTAATATGCAGTCATGAATGGGTTGACATTATTTGTACAATTATTACAGTATTGCAGTAGTCTGCATAACAGTAAATTCTATTTTTTGTTTAAATAAAAATTCAAAATAGAAAGCAAGAGTAATATTAGAGGGGCCTGGAGATGTGACTGATGAACAAAGAAAATGTTATTTTAGAGCCAGGAATGTCTGCATTGTTCATTCTGGACCTTATATTGAAATTGTCATATTTTTTAATTTTTGTGAAATTGGCCAAATTGCAAATTTCTGACCATGTTATTGGGTAGTTGAAATCGGTAAATGGGCAGTTTCTTGTACTCAATCGATAGAAAAAATGGAGTTCTAGAGAAATAGCTATGAGTTAGGTCGACTGGAACAATGGAATTAGCTGAAAATAGGGCTCAAAGTGGGCGAAATCGCCGATTTGTAAATATCACCAAGGTTGCTAACGTCGCGAGAGCGTAATTCCATCAGTTTTCCATCAAATTTCATTTTTTTTGTGTCATTACAATCGGGAAAAGATTCTCTATCATTTCATAAGAAAAAATATTTTTCTTTTTTTTAAATTTTGCGACACCAGGAGACACCTCAGGATTGGGGGTTGCGACAGTCAAGGGGTTAAGTGAGCAATAGAGCTAGGCCTAAAAAATACATATACAGTACACGTATTGCTTACATTAAAATATTTTTGTCCTTAGCCTATAGTGAGTGGTAAATATATTTATTGTAGGAAGTCTGAATAAATGGAGAATGGGTATAAATGAAAAACTGTTGTATTAGCAAACTCCCATAAAGTGAAGCACTGTGAAGTGGGGCCTGCCTGTATCTAGTTACAGTAATACAGTATCAACATTCTGTACAAAATCCTCAGTAATTTTTATGTGGTTCAGTAAATTCTTATACTCATTTTAGAAAATATTTTTGGCTGTTTTATTTCTGCTGTGAGCAGTGCTCCCACAGATATGGTGTGTGAGCTGCTACTGTTTATTTCTTGACCAATTTATTTAACTGATTTTCTCTCTTTGCCTCAAATTTTATTTGAAAATATTATTATTCCATCCTGCACACTAAATCTTGTAAATGAACCATGGCACAGGTGGGGTTTGAACCATGGTGAGTGAGTCGTCAAATTCATTCACTTACAATGGGTTCAAATCCCACCCATTCTGTGGTTTGTTTACAATTGTGTTATAACGATTTCATGACTCTTGACCTAAATTCTTGCAGGTACTGTGATATTCTTCACCGAGCATCAATGCATCTTGGAGGATGGGCTCGAGTTGAAGGGCGGTCAGCTCACGCACCTTACAATCCTTGGTCCAGTTCAATGTCGTGGCCACAAGGAGCTTTGGTGAAACACAATCGGGAACTGTACCGAGCCGAGGGCATCACCAATGCTGCAGAACCTGGCAACACTACTCATGCCAGGTTATATGTAAGTCATGATAAGCTTGTTCATGACACTGCAGGTAAATAAAAACATACACTGCAGTTACAAATAACAAAAAAGGCACAATACCGTGACTGGAATTAAGGAGTCTCTCCGACCTCTGTCTTCCTGACTTTGACCTTGTTCAACGGTTTCGTGTCATCTGTCCCTCTCTTCCCTATTTCTATGGCCTTCCCAAAACTCATAAACCTGATATTCCGCTTTGTCCTATCATATCCTCTAGAGGCTCTGTCTCTTATTCTCTTGCTTCTTGGCTGGCCAAAACCCTCACTCCCTTTCTTGGTACTTTTTCTCCTGCCCACCTCCGTCACTCTCAAGACTTCATTGAACGGGTTCGCTCTCTCTCAACCTGTAAGATGCTTAGTCTTGACGTTGAGTCCCTCTTCACCAATGTCCCTCTTGATGATGTCCTTGATTTCCTTAGAGAGAAGGCCCATGAAGGGTTTCTTCATCTCCCTATACCTACTGATGTCTTTCTTGATCTTATCCGCCTCTGTGTAGACTCTAACTCCTTTTCCTTCCAAGGGAAATATTATTCTCAAACCTTCGGTGTCGCTATGGGCTCTCCTCTCTCTCCTGTCCTTGCTAATCTTTACATGGAGTACTTCGAGACTGTTCTTCTTCCTACCCTCGATGTGCAACCTTCACTCTGGCTCCACTATGTGGATGACATCTTTGCTCTGTGGCCTCATGACTCCAGTATCTTCCAACCTTTTCTTGAAGCTCTTAATAATCTTGCCCCTTCCATTAAGTTTAAAGCTGAATGGGAATCTAATTCCTTGCTTCCTTTCCTTGATGTCCATGTCCACCGCTCAGATACAGGTTTTTCCTTTTCCGTTTACTGAAAACCTATGCACAATGGCATGTACATTCACTACTTTTCCTATCATGCTTCCCCTGTCAAGAAAAGTGTTCTTATCTCCCTCTTTCTCCGTGCCCTCCACATCAGTGATCCTCAGTTCCTTCCAGCAGAAATTTCCACTCTTCATAATTCGTTTTCCCGTCTTGGCTACCCTTCCCATTTCATAGACTCTGCCCTCTCACGTGCTAAACGCAATTTCTTCTCTCCCAAACTCTCTACTCCTGGGAACTCTTCTATCCTCTGCCTTCCCTACATTTCCGGTCTTTCTAATCTCAACAATTCTCTCCGTCCCTTAGACATCAAGCTTACCTTCCGCCAGACTAACACTCTTTGCACTAATCTCATTCATACCTCTCCTCCCTCTACAGATGTTCCTGGTGTCTACTCTATTTCTTGCTCCTCCTGTCCTCTTCAATACTTCGGAGAAACTGGTCGATCTCTTTCTGACAGACTTAAGGAGCACAAAAATAGTGTTAGGCTTGCTGACACTAACAATGGTCTTTTTTGTCACGTCAGAGATCATAGCCATCCTATTGACTGGTCTTCTGCTAAAACTGTCTTCCCTACTTCCAACTCGAACAGTCGCCGTCTAGTTGAATCCTCTCTAATACACAACTTTCCTTGTATGAATCTTAGCCCTGGCTTCGTCTCTGTAGATGCTTTCCTCTCCCACTACATTGTAAAATGCTCCAAACTTCAGAACACCCGTGACTTAACCTGACTCCTCATTTTTTCTTTTTCTTTTTCTTTTTCTTTTTCTTCTTCTCCCTCTTCCCCTTTCCTCTTTCCTTTTCTCCTCTGGGTTGTCTTTTTCTCTTCTGTCTCGTGTTTCTGTTCCTTCTTCATTTATTTTTCACTTCCCCTTTCACGCACCTCTGTGCGCTTGCTCTCCCTCAGTGGGCACCTAGCTCTCTTGCAGTGCTCCCCTTCCTTTGTATTTGACTGGCTTGTCCTCCTTATTTCCCACTTCTACCACTACCACTACTACTACCTCTTCTACTACTACTACTACTACAACTACTGATGAAATTAAGACACATGTGCGGCGTCTGGTTGTCTTTGTTGTGGATGTCTACGATAGGGATGCCCGGGTGTTGCGCATGTGTCTTAATTTCATCTTGTCGGTATTATATACCATTCTTGTACTACTACTACTACCACCACCTCTTCCTGCCTTTATATAGCCGTCCTGCTCCACTTCTGGTTAGTGTGACTTTGTCAGTGGTCCAAGTCGGACCGAAACGTCGTCGCAAGCTTCTCTCTTTTATGTGCGGGTTATTTGTGTATACACTGCAGTTTATGTCACTGTGTGCATTATTTACATACTGTCAGTTTACTCAACAATTGTATTACCATGACAGTGGAACTCACACCCATATTACACCATTTTTGCAATAAGATCATAGTAAACAGGTGATATCATAATAGGGAAAATAACCACTGTGAAAAACAGTGAATTGCCAAGCACTTTTGTGATGTCTCACATTGTCAAAGAAATCACAAAAGTCCTTGGAAATTCATTATTTTTTCACCTTGGTTATTTTGCATATTGTATTAAACCATTTTCTTAAGCATTAAGCACCATCAATTTCTGAATAATCTAAGCCACTTACAAAAATTGTATGTTGGTTTAATTTGGATAGGTACTTGATTCACATATCTTCTTTCTTTCTTTCAACACACCGGCCATATCCCACCGAGGCAGGGTGGCCCAAAAGGAAAAACAAAAGTTTCTCCTTTTACATTTAGTAATATATACAGGAGAAGAGGTTACTAGCCCCTTGCTCCCGGCATTTTAGTCGCCTCTTACAACACGCATGGCTTATGGAGGAAGAATTCTGTTCCACTTCCCCATGGAGATAAGAGGAAATAAACAAGAATAAGAACTAGAAAGAAAATAGAAGAATACCCAGAGGGGTGTGTATATATATGCTTGTACATGTATGTATAGTGTGACCTAAGTGCAAGTAGAAGTAACAAGATATACCTGAAATCTTGCATGTTTATGAGACAGACAAAAGACACCAGCAATCCTACCATCATGTGAAACAATTACAGGTTTTCGTTGTACACTCACTTGGCAGGACGGTAGTACCTCCCTGGGTGGTTGCTGTTTACCAACCTACTACCTAGGATACATAAATGTACAGGAATATATATACACACCTCTCTGGATTTTCTTCTATTTTCTTTCTAGTTCTTGTTCTTGTTCATTTCCTCTTATCTCCATGGGGAAGTGGAACAGAATTCTTCCTCCATAAGCCATGCGTGTTGTAAGAGGTGACTAAAATGCTGGGAGCAAGGGGCTAGTAACCCCTTCTCCTGTATAAATTACTAAATTTAAAAAGATAAACATTCATTTTTCTTTTTGGGCCACCCTGCCTTGGTGGGATACTGCCGGTTTGTTGAAAAAAAAAATGTTTATAACTACTAATTGGTGCTTTGAAGACCTTTTTTTCTTGTGGATTTCATTCACAAGTGGTGATGTTTATAACTCTGGCAATCATACATTGGGGATCCCTCATATAATAAATATTACAGCATTATTTTTTATTCTTTAATGCACTGATTGTCTCCCACTGAGGCAGGGCTACCTGGAAAAGAAGAAACAAAAGCTTTTCTTCTTTTTACATTTAGTAATTTATACAGGAGAAGGGGTTACTAACCCCTCATGACATGCATAACTTACAGAGGGAGGATTCTCTTCCATTTTCCCATGGCAATGGAAGGAATAAGAGCAGGCGCTATTAAGAAAATAAAAGAGAACTCAGATGGGTGTATATACATGTACATGAATGTGCCCCAGATATTTTATTATTACAGTATATTAATAAGAAGTTTCTCTTTCCATTCAGGCAATCTTCTGCGACCCTTCTCGGCCAGTATTGGTGTTGGTGTGGGTGTGCGTGTGTTGTGTTCTGCTTCACCTGGTACTGCTGGCCTCCTTGCATCAATGGCATCAGTTACTGGCAACGGCTCTTGTTTTATCAGCATCATATGCAGCGCTTTATTACCTCCTGAGAGACTATTTAGTACTTAGAAAAGTTTATCAACAGGAACAACAGCTCCAGGAAAGAGTTTTGAACTAAAAAATGATATGAAAATACTATGTGCAACAAATACCGTTGAATGTTCGGCAAAACGTATTTTGTGTTTTGGGAAAATAATTTTTAAAATATTTTGTTTGTAAGAGCATTCTGTGTATATAAGCGTGTATTGTACGTTATATGTTAGATGTAAGCAAGTAATAAAAGAAATAAAGTGCCATTGCTAGATTAGAAGTAAGTTATAACCAACATGGTAATGGGTTTAATCAGAGTCACACTTAATTCATTTATTTTTACTTTGAGATCATTCAGATGAAAGAAAATATTGAATGTAATGTTTGACAACTGATGTAATGTTAGAGTGAAGGAACCAGTTTTAGTGCTTATGTATGAGAGTTTTACACATTCTGCTGTTTTTCTCTTCTTATGGCTTTCAAGATTCATTACTTATTCAACATTTAGTGTTTTGCCAGTGGCAGGTTGACTCAGAAGGAAAATATATTCATCACTCATTTAGTAGTGGTCTTTCCAGAAGTGTACTGACATCACAATTCAAATAATCCATCAAAACTTCAACATTCCCTCGCATCCTTCAGAGTGTAGGCATTGCACCTCCAAGTTCTAGGACTCATGCTCAGCAAGCTGGATTCTGCAAGTTCTTTCATAGATGTTATGTTGATCTTCTCTAACACATTCATACATACTGTCATGCAAAGTGTCGTATCTCTGCACTCTGGCAAGACAATGATAGTGTGAATGATGGTGAAAGTGTTTCTTTTTTGAGTCACCCTGCCTCAGTGAGAGACAACCAGTGCATTTAAAAAAAATATTGGCTGATTATTTATTTTTTTTTTTATTATCACACTGGCCGATTCCCACCAAGGCAGGGTGGCCCGAAAAAGAAAAACTTTCACCATCATTCACTCCATCACTGTCTTGCCAGAAGGGTGCTTTACACTACAGTTTTTAAGCTGCAACATTAACACCCTTCAGACTGCAGGCACTGTACTTCCCATCTCCAGGACTCAAGTCCGGCCTGCCGGTTTCCCTGAACCCCTTCATAAATGTTACTTTGCTCACACTCCAACAGCACGTCAAGTATTAAAAACCATTTGTCTCCATTCACTCCTATCAAACACGCTCACGCATGCCTGCTGGAAGTCCAAGCCCCTCACACACAAAACCTCCTTTACCCCCTCCCTCCAACCTTTCCTAGGCCGACCCCTACCCCGCCTTCCTTCTACTACAGACTGATACACTCTTGAAGTCATTCTGTTTCGCTCCATTCTCTCTACATGTCCAAACCACCTCAACAACCCCTCCTCAGCCCTCTGGACTACAGTTTTGGTAATCCCGCACCTCCTCCTAACTTCCAAACTACGAATTCTCTGCATTATATTCACACCACACATTGCCCTCAGACATGACATCTCCACTGCCTCCAGCCTTCTCCTCGCTGCAACATTCATCACCTATGCTTCACACCCATATAAGAGCGTTGGTAAAACTATACTCTCATACATTCCCCTCTTTGCCTCCAAGGACAAAGTTCTTTGTCTCCACAGACTCCTAAGTGCACCACTCACCCTTTTCCCCTCATCAATTCTATGATTCACCTCATCTTTCATAGACCCATCCGCTGACACGTCCACTCCCAAATATCTGAATACATTCACCTCCTCCATACTCTCTCCCTCCAATCTGATATCCAATCTTTAATCACCTAATCTTTTTGTTATCCTCATAACCTTACTCTTTCCTGTATTCACTTTTAATTTTCTTCTTTTGCATACCCTACCAAATTCATCTACCAATCTCTGCAACTTCTCTTCAGAATCTCCCAAGAGCACAGTGTCATCAGCAAAGAGCAACTGTGACAACTCCCACTTTATGTGTGATTCTTTATCTTTTAACTCCACGCTTCTTGCCAAGACCCTCGCATTTACTTCTCTTACAGTCCCATCTATAAATATATTAAACAACCACGGTGACATCACACATCCTTGTCTAAGGCCTACTTTACTGGGAAATAATTTCCCTCTTTCCTACATACTCTAACTTGAGCCTCACTATCCTCGTAAAAACTCTTCACTGCTTTCAGTAACCTACCTCCTATACCATACACCTGCAACATCTGCCACATTGCTCCCTTATCCACCCTGTCATACGCCTTTTCCAAATCCATAAATGCCACAAAGACCTCTTTAGCCTTATCTAAGTACTGTTCACTTACATGTTTCACTGTAAACACCTGGTCCACACACCCCCTACCTTTCCTAAAGCCTCCTTGTTCATCTGCTATCCTATTCTCTGTCTTACTCTTAATTCTTTCAATAATAACTCTACCATACACTTTACCAGGTATACCCAACAGAATTATCCCCCTATAATTTTTTGCACTCTCTTTTGTCCCCTTTGCCTTTATACAAAGAAACTATGCATGCTCTCTGCAATCCCTAGGTACCTTACCCTCTTCCATACATTTATTAAATAATTGCACCAACCACTCGAAAACTATATCCCCACCTGCTTTTAACATTTCTATCTTTATCCCATCAATCCCGGCTGCCTTACCCCCTTTCATTTTACCTACTGCCTCACGAACTTCCCCCACACTCACAACTGGCTCTTCCTCACTCCTACAAGATGTTATTCCTCCTTGTCCTATACACGAAATCACAGCTTCCCTATCTTCATCAGCATTTAACAATTCCTCAAAATATTCCCTCCATCTTCCCAATACCTCTAACTCTCCATTTATTAACTCTCCTCTCCTATTTTTAACTGACAAATCCATTTGTTCTCTAGGCTTCCTTAACTTATTAATCTCACTCCTAAACTTTTTCTTATTTTCAACAAAATTTGTTGATAACATCTCACCCACTCTCTCATTTGCTCTCTTTTTACATTGCTCTCTTTTTACATTGCTCTCTTAACCTCTCTCTTTTTCTCCATATACTCGTCCCTCCTTGCATCACTTCTACTTTGTAAAAACTTCTCATATGCTAACTTTTTCTCCCTTACTACTCTCTTCACATCATCATTCCACCAATCGCTCCTCTTCCCTCCTGCACCCACTTTCCTGTAACCACAAACTTCTGCTGAACACTCTAACACTACATTTTTAAACCTACCCCATACCTCTTCGACCCCATTGCCTATGCTCTCATTAGCCCATCTATCCTCCAATAGCTGTTTATATCTTACCCTAACTGCCTCCTCTTTTAGTTTATAAACCTTCACCTCTCTCGTCCCTGATGCTTCTATTCTCCTTGTATCCCATTTGCCTTAATTATTATTATATTTTGTGCACTGTTCATAGAGTGTAATGAGTGGAGAAAGCTCAGTCTTCTGTCTGTTAATCACAGGATGGAAAACCTACTCTTACAGTCAGATATTGTCCATGATCATTTTTTGTTACAAAGTTTTATTGTGCTTTTCACTTAAGATTCTGAACTATACAATTATGTGTGTATACTCATTTGTTTTCATAGGGTAGTAGAAAAAACCTTGCTTGGAATGTACTTATTTATATCCAATGGTACTGTACATAATAGTATTGTATATAGCCTGTGGACTCTTTATAGCAGTTCATATTAGAAAAATAAGTGTAAAAAGCTTGCATGGAATGTATATTTTCATATTCTTTATTTATTTGTGTCCTTTGCTGTAAAATAGTGGAGCTTTTATATACTGTATACAGTTGCACCTCCTGTATCCACACTCCTTTATATATAACTCAAAACTACTTTGAAGGAACCAGTGAAATCATTTGTTAATCACTAGTCAATGACCGGTTCTCATAATTTTTCGTTGGTGCTGCAAGCGTCAATGTACAATGAGCAGGACGAGCAACGAGCCAATACTCACTACAAGTATTTTATCCCATGCACCTGTGCCATATCAGAAGCATAACTGTTCATCACTTCTGTACACTTCTGAAAGATAGACATATCAAAGGGATGTCAGGTAAATGGACCCCAGTGCAGCTAATGTGGCTTTTTATTGTGGCAGCCTTTTGCTCTCTAAGAGCTTGACGAAGCTCCTGGAGAGTGAAATGTTGCCACAATAAAATGTCACATTAGTTGCCGCTGTCTCCATTTTCCTAACATTCTGTTAGTAATTCTACTATTATTGCATATTACAGAGAGCTTGAAGATATTCAAGTGCAAAAATAAGAACATAAGAATGTAGGAACACTGCAGAAGGCCTACTGGCCCATACGAGGCAGGTCCTTATCAAAACGACATCTACCTAAAGCTACTCAAGAAATAACTCCCGTACCCCTTGACACCAATCAAACCCAGCCCCTCCCACTCATATATTTGTCCAGTCTCTTCTTAAAGCTACCCAAGGTCCTAGCCTCTATCGCCCCACTGGGAAGACTGTTCCACGCATCTACAACTCTGTTAGAAAACCAGTACTTACCTATGTCCTTTCTAAATCTAAATTTATCCAACTTAAATCCATTATTCCTGGTTCTTACCTGGTTCGACACCCTCAGTACTTTATTAATGTCTCCCTTGTTTATGCCCGTCATCCACTTATACACTTCAATGATATCTCCCCTTATTCTACGCCTCTCCAGAGAGTGGAGATTTAAGGCTTTAAGTCTATCTTCATACGGGAGGTTCCTTACACAGTAAATCATTTTAGTCATTCTTCTCTGTATGTTCTCTAATGAGTCTGTCCATCCTATAGTAAGGGGACCAAAACTGAGCAGCATAATCTAAATGAGGCCTCACTAGTGATGTATAGAGCTGTAAAATAACTTTTGGACTTCTGTTACTTATACTTCTTGAGATAAATCCAAGTAATCTGTTGGCCTTGTTGCGCACACTAAGGCACTGCTGTCTTGGCTTTAGATTTCTGCTTACCATGACTCCCAAGTCTTTTTCAAATGTGAGAAAATTGAGTGATCATGTACCCTAGAGGGTTGAGTGGTCTTGCAAGTACTTCTGATGAGTATAATATCTACAATCTCCATGGGGAAATGGAGAAGAATTCTTCCTCAGTAAGCCATGCCTGTTGTAAGAAGTGACTAAAATGCCAGGATCAAGGGGCTAGTAACCCCTTCTCCTGTATAAATTACTAAATTTAAAAAGAAAAACTTTTGTATCCCACTCTGCCTTGGTGGGATACAGCTGGTGTTGAAAAAAGATGTCTACAAGCATATGTATTTCTTAAGAATTTACTTTGTTGTATTTTGTTCATTATATGTAAGATTTCAGTCCCATGTCAAGTCTTTTGAAGATAAAGATTGTATGTTACATGTAATGGTCTTTGTTAGCTCACTGTATCTATGTTGTGGTGGTCACTGTGCAGTCACCACATTGCTTGCCACAGTTATGAATGACGAGTGTGTTAATTATTCATAATGTGCAGGATGAGTTATACTCCACAACATTGTTGTTGCTTCTACTTTTTTAAAAGCTTAATTATCTAGAGGGATCAATCCCTGACAATTTTTGGATTCATGAGGTGCAATTGTGCAGTTTGTCTATTGTGTTTATCATACATTAAGTTTCCTTGTACATTTGTTAGCATGAGTCAACTATACCTCTGCATTGCAAGAAACCTTCCCGTCTTACTTCTGTAATTTGTCGTAAACTCCAGTAAGTTTGTGACACAGGATTTCTCATCCCTTAAGCCATGCTGGTTGTCATGTATGATCCCATTCCTTTCTAGGTGCTCCACCACTCTTCCAATAATCCTTGTGGTAACCCTTCTGATTACCATTTAACCCTCCAGTGAAAATGTTCCTATGTGCTAACCCTTCTGATGACCATTTTAACCTCTTTCTAGGTTATATGATAATTTCTTAATGAAAAATCTTAGAGTTAGGCACTAGCAAACTTTTCAGAAAGCTAATAGTTTTAAATAAGCTTTACTAATGCCAAGTACAAAAAGATTATATTTTTGTTCCTTGACAATGATTTTTTTGTTACAAATTATTTTTATAGAGGAAGTGTATTCATGTAATATAATTTATGCCAGGTAAATGGACACAGATGCAACTTATGTGCCATTTTATTGTGGCAACGTTTCACTCTCTAGGAGCTTTGTTAAGCCGTTACAAACAATACATGGACACAGAGAGTATATACGTATATAGGTACCATGTGAGGTGGAAGACAGTTGCATCTGTGTCCATTTACCTTACATTTTGTCGGTAATTTTTACCATTATTACTTATATAATTTGTGTTTTATATACTTGAAAGGGGTGTTGTATTGATTTTTCAATACTTCTGCTACTAAGTGCATTGTGGATACTAAAGCTCACCGATTACATATATGCATTACACATAGGAAAACCAAAGATTTTGTTTTATTAAAATTTCGTAGTTGATGAACTCAGATTAAGTTATAATAAACAGAAAAATGGACGGTAGAGCATCGGACCATAGTTCAAGCCCCTCCCTGTCCATTTGTCTGTATATTTCTTAGTTGATATTTAGATTTTTGTTTGTTAATTTAGCTGCAGTATTTCTAACCAAAAAGAGTTCCTTAAGTTTGGCCATACTGTATGAATGGTTTTAAATGGTCTGGTGATGCTAGCAAACTGTGGAAAAGGACATTTGTGTATGGTTCAGGACATTTATTATTATTAAAGGAAAATGGTTTGCCATGAGTGACTTTACCAGTCCTATTAATGAAGGCACTCATGGTGAAACATTTTCTTTCATAAATGTCCAGAACTGTGGACAAGTGTCCTTTTCCACATACTGTATAAATGTTTCAAGCATTTCAGCTCTTTGTTGCCAGCTTTAAATGGAAGATTGCTGGCAGACATTATCAGATGCTTGGCAGTGCCCTTCATGTTGAATTGTTTGTATCATAGAAAAGAATGTGCGTGTCATAAGAGGCAACTAAAATGCCAGGAGCAAGGGGCTAGTAACCCCTTCTCTTGTATAAATTACTAAATGTAAGAAGAAGAAAAACGTCTATTTCTTCGTTTTTTGAGTCATCCTGCCTCGGTGGGAAATGGCTGATGTGTTAAAAACAAAATAGAAAGGATGTGTGAACTGTACATATTAGAAGAAATTTCACATGAAGCATTGAAAGTTAGGAATAACACCATTTCTAATGCATGTTGTGAAGGTTTAATGCTAGACAACCTTGAAATAGGTTTCTGCTGACAATATTTGATTTTTATTTCAGTACAGGAGGGCCCTGCTTATACAGTAGGTTAGGTTTTGGCTACTGTGGGGCCCTGCTTATACAGCAGGTTAGGTTCTGGGCTACTGTGGGGCCCTGTTTATACAGCAGGTTAGGTTCTGGGCTACTGTGGGGCCCTGCTTATACAGCAGGTTAGGTTCTGGGCTACTGTGGGGCCCTGCTTATATAGCAGGTTAGGTTCTGGGCTACTACTGTAAAGCAAAAATCACTGTAAAGTGAAACATAGCTTTTTTTCACTTTTAAATACATATAAAAGCAATAGGGCTAGGCCTAGAAAATGCCTATACAGTACACACATTACTTACCTTAAAATATTTTTTTCCTTAGCTTATAGTGAGTGATAAATATATTGTAGGAAGTCTGAGCAAATGAAGAATGGGTATAATTGAAAACAGCTGCATTAGCAAAATGCTGTAAAGGAAGACCCTCCTGTACTTGCCAAGTTGTTTGCAAAGGGTGAGTCTCAGCTGCTGACCCCCCACCTTAAACTATAATTTCTGGCATCATTGGGTGCTGTGCGAATGAGTGCGAGTGAATGAAAACTGTGGAACAAATTGAGGGTATACCCTTTTAAGTCATTTTTAGCATCTTTTGTTCAAATTAGATTAATACAATAATGCTATACAGTACTGATAAGTAGAGTAAGACGTGCAACAGTAAGGTAGTTTTATTTCTGAAACTTTTCTACACAGTAGGCACCTTCCATCGAAGACGTAGGTGTGAACGTGTTCGGTGGAACCTTGGTTTTCAAATTTAATTCATTCTAGATGTCAGTTTGACAACCAAAATCGACAACCAAAACAATTTTTCCTGTAAAGAATAATTTAAACAGAATTAATCTGTTCCAGATCCCAAATGACAATATACAGAAGCAGCAGCGAAGAGTTGAAGAATCCGTCGGCCTAAATGAAGTAAATTTTGTTCTGTGGTACTGCTTGTTCAGCAGTACTACTTGTTCAGCTCCATACCATTGAACAATATTCAAGACTATGGAGCTGAGCACTTCAAGGCTGATGGACAGACCACAACTTGACTTCTCTATCACTGTCTCCATATTTAGTCAGCTCTGTATTTGAAACAGCTGAATGTTTGGCTGAAACTGTTCAGCCATGAATGATGCCCAACGCTTCCAGCACATGTTTTGTGTTTCTGTTTTCTCTCTTGTTATGACTTGTTAGAACATGCTTTTATATTTAGATATGTCTGCTGCATGAACCTTGACTTGTACACTTGGATGTTATATCTGCTGTATGACCCTTGACTTCTACTCTACCTCCACGATTATACAATGAAACTACAGTGTCTGAAAAAATACATCCATTCAATATTTTCATTATCCAACGTGGCTACGCAAGGAATGTCGTCACAGATACGATTTTGTCCCCCTCATAGAGAAAGATGCCCGCCCATACATGTTTAATGCTTCCCAAGAATAGTAGAGCAACTGTCCAGGAAATGCCACAACTTTGTGAAAGGCTTGATCCAAGGGATTGGAGCTATCTTTCCCTTTGGATCAAACCTGATTACCTCTCATACTCAAAGCCCTGTGAGTTTACCACTTCAAAATGACTTAATAAAAATATATGCATGGTATACAGTGTTTAATTTTGTTTTCCAGTTTTAAAATCTATTTTAAATGTACTAATGAGATTTTAGCAGATTTAACTTAGTACCTGAAGGATGATCTTTGGTGATTAAAGCCCCAGGTGCATCATTTCGTGATCAAGCAGGCTGTTATTGCTGGCCAAAAATATCGACTGATCAAAATGTCGACTTGGATGACAGCCAATAAACTTACGCTTAACACTGACAAAACCTACTACATTATGTTTGGTAGCAGAGCAGGAGATGCGCAAATTAACATTAAGATCGACAACACTCTAATTGCCAGGCATAATGAGGGCAAATTCCTAGGCCTATACCTCGACAACAACCTGAACTTCAGCACCCATATCCAACACATAACCAAAAAAAGTATCCAAAACGGTTGGGATCCTCTCCAAGATACGATACTACGTGCCACAAACTGCCCTTCTCACACTATACCACTCACTTATTTATCCATACCTCACCTGCGCTATCTGTGCTTGGGGATCAACTGCAGCAACACACCTAAAGCCAATAATAACCCAACAAAAAGCTGCAGTAAGAATAATCACTAAATCCCATCCCTGGCAGCACACCCCCCCACTCTTCATAGATCTAAACTTACTCCCTGTTCAGTACATCCACACTTACTACTGTGCAATCTACATCTACAGGACCTTAAATTCCATATTAACCTTGACCTAAAACGCTTTCTTGATAGTTGTGACAGAACCCACAGGCACAACACCAGACACAAACATCTCTACGACATTCCCCGTGTCCGACTAAACCTTTACAAAAATTCAATGTATGTCAAAGGCCCTAAAATCTGGAACACCTACCTGAAAGTTCCAAAACTGCAGACACATTCATCACTTCAAAACTACCATCAGAAAACATCTTATCTCCTGATACACCCTATCAACTAACTACACGAATACCACCTGGTGGTTCACACTTACACTCACTCACCCATTTGACCATAAACAGAAATATCAATCTCAATCTCAAAATAATGAATCTTAACTAGTCATAAGTTGGCCTGTGATACTCCAATACTGAAACTATGTATTGTGCCAAAACAAAAGCATTCACATTGCTAAACTCACAAACTAGTATTTAGTCACTTAGCCATAATACCAACTTACCTCATAATTTGTAATATTTAAAAAAAAAAAATTAAACTAAGTCTGCCCGAAATGCCTAGCCATGCTAGGTGTTCTAGTGGTACACTCTGTAATCATTATTTAACTACATGTAAACCACACAATAACCAAATTCTGTAAACTCAGCATTGTAATCCTTATAGAGAATAAACTTTGAATTTGAATTTGAATTTGAACATGTGAACCACAGCCCAGCTCGTCAGGAACTGACTATCGGAGCTTACTAAGCTATGTCCTAGAGGCAGCTAAGTTACTGTATAACCCTTGTGGGTTAAATGCTTGGCTTTGATTATAATACATTTACTGGAGGAGAGCACTAAACGTATAGGGGTTATAAAGTGTCATGGGGGATGGGGTAAGGAAAGGTATTAAGGCTCGATTCAAGGAACTGGAGCACAGATTCGATTCCCTAGATCAAAAGCCCCTCACCAGCATCAAGGACTCTCCTTGGAGAGGAAGACTGGTGAGCATTGGTCCCCTTACACTTACCTATAATGAAAACATTTCGTTATATCGGTGAAAGGTAAATTTCGTGAAGTTCAGTTCGTGGTTGTTTAAGGGAGATTCAGCGCTGTATAGCCCTTGTGGCTTAGCGCTTCTTTTTGATTATAATAATAATAATCAAAGGAGATTCTTTCATGCCAGTGAGGGGATCTTGCTCCAAGTAATTGGATCAAACCTGAATACCTACCATTTCTAAAGCGCTAATATGGCCCTTGTGAATTTAGAGCTTTCCCTGAAAATTATTAAAAATGGAGGACAAAGCTGTCTTGTCCATACGAGTTTAGTAGTGGTCACTAGGGTCCAGCAGTGACCAGTGAAGGTGCTAAGGTCACACTAGGGTCCAACAGTGACCAGTGAAGGTGCTAAGGTCACACTAGGGTCCAGCAGTGACCAGTGAAGGTGCTAAGGTCACACTAGGGTCCAGCAGTGACCAGTGAAGGTGCTAAGGTCACACTAGGGTCCAGCAGTGACCAGTGAAGGTGCTAAGGTCACACTAGGGTCCAGTGACCAGTGAAGGTGCTAAGGTCACACTAGGGTCCAGCAGTGACCAGTGAAGGTGCTAAGGTCACACTAGGGTCCAGCAGTGACCAGTGAAGGTGCTAAGGTCACACTAGGGTTCCAGCAGTGACAGTGAAGGTGCTAAGGTCACACTAGGGTCCAGCAGTGACCAGTGAAGGTGCTAAGGTCACACTAGGGTCCAACAGTGACCAGTGAAGGTGCTAAGGTCACACTAGGGTCCAGCAGTGACCAGTGAAGGTGCTAAGGTCACACTAGGGTCCAGCAGTGACCAGTGAAGGTGCTAAGGTCACACTAGGGTCCAACAGTGACCAGTGAAGGTGCTAAGGTCACACTAGGGTCCAGCATGACCAGTGAAGGTGCTAAGGTCACACTAGGGTACCAGCAGTGACCAGTGAACGGTGCTAAGGTCACACTAGGGTCCAACAGTGACCAGTTAAGGTGCTAAGGCCACACTAGGGTCCAGCAGTGACCAGTGAAGGTGCTAAGGTCCACCCTAGGTCCAGCAGTGACCATTGGAAGTGAGCTAGCGGACACTCTAGGTCCAGCAGCGACCAGTGAAGGAGCTAAGGTCACACAAGGGTCCAGCACTGACAGTTCTGAAGTGTGCTAAGGCACACTAAGGTCCCACAGTGACCATGAAGGTGCTAAGGTACACTAAGGTTCCAGCAGTGAACAGAGAAACGTGCTAATTCACACATAGGGTCCACAGTGACCAGTGAAGGAGCTAAGGTTCACACTAAAGGTCCCAGCAGTGACCAGTGAACGTGCTAAGGTCACACAAGGGTCCACACGACCAGAGCGCCGTGCTAAGGGTCACACAAGGGTCAACCAGCAGTACCAGTAGAACGTCTAAGGTCACAATTAGGTTCCAGCAGTGAGCACCAGTGAAGGCTGCTAATGTCACACTTAGCTCCACAGTGACCAGGCGAAGATGCTAAGGTCACACTACGTCCAGCAGTGAACCATTGAACATAACCAGGGACCAGGAACCAGGTGACGAGGGGACAAGTGAACAGGTGCAGGAACTCCGGGACGAATGATAGTGAACAGTGACCAGAACCATGGAACCAGGGACCAGAAACTATGGGACCAGGACCAGGGCCAGGACCAGGGACCAGGGACCCAGTGAGCAGGGACCAGAACAGTGATGGGAAGGGGGCTCCTGCACTAAGCATGCGTTTTATACTCATCATGAGATGAACACTAAATAGATCCTTCCTCTCAGTGAGTTTATGTTAGTACTACACCATCAGACCAGCCAAGATACTTTCATCACTACACCAACTGCCACCACCACTACTACTACCACCACTACTACTGGAACTCTACTTTCCACGACTACTACTACAACCACTTGCCACCACAATTACTACCACTACTACCGAACCACCCACAACAGTACCCCAACTACCACCGACCACCACCACTACAACCACCACAACACTTCACTACCCACTACTACAAAATCACTGCCACCAAAAACTACTAGTACCACTAGTACCGCCACAGTTTGAACTAGTACCCCACCAGTCCTGAACCAGCATCCCACAGTCTGAACTAAGTACCCACAGTTTGGAAACTAGTAATCCACAGCCTGAAACAGTACCACACAGTTCTGAACTAGTACCCCCACAGGCCTGAACTAATACTCCACAGGTCCAGAACAAGTACCGACAGTTGAACTAGTCCCCACAGTCTAAACTAGTACCACACAGCTAGTTTTGAACTAGTTAACTCAATTCACAAGCCTGAACCTATATACCGAACACAGTCCAAACTAGTACACTCACATTTCTGAAACAAGTACCTGCACAGTCTGAACTAGCACCACAGGATTGAACTAGAACCAGACACACGACTGAAGCAAAGAACACAGTTATGAAACTAGTTAGACTCTATACCACGCCCGTGAGTCTGTAACTAGTGCCCCAATAATAAGAACAAGTACATGGTTCATATGTGCAGCAGTCTGAGACACATAAGAACACAGTTTTGTAAGTGCACTAGTAAGAGTACATAATATTAAAACCTTCAAATAAAACTCCACAGTCTGAACTAGTAGAAAGACACAAGGTAGCTATACGCCACATTTGAACTAGTCTACCCACAGCACAAATCCCACAACTTTGAACTAGTACCCCACAGTCTGAACTAGTCAACACGCACAGCAGTCTGAACTAATACCACAAGTTTGAACAAGTTATCCCACATGTCCAGAACTAGTAACCCACATTTGGAACTTAGTACCACACAGCTTGAACCTCAGTACCTCGCCCACTAGTTTTAGAAAACCAACTAGTAACCGATTATCACAAATAGTTCATAGTTCTGAAACTAATACCACAGTTTAACTATTACCCAGAGTCTGACATTGACCCAAAGTTTTGTAACTAGTACCACAGTCTGACTATACCCACAGTCCTTGAACCTAGTACCCACATTCTGAATAGTAACCCACAGTTTGAAAAAGTCCCACAATTGAACTAGTAGCCACAGTCCTGACACTAGTACCCACATTTTGAACCAGTACCCTCAGTTTGAACTATACCCTACAGTCTGAACTAGTACCCACAGTTTTGAACTATAACTCCCAGTTTGAACTAGTACCCACAGTCTAAACTAGTACCGCACAGTTTGAACTAGTACCCACATTTTGACTAGTACCACACAGTTAGTACTAGTACCCAACAGTTTGAACTAGTACTCACAGTTATTTTGAACTAATACCCAAGTCTGAACTAGTACCCACAGTTTGAACTATACCCCACATCTGAACTAGTACCCACAGTCCTGAACTAGTACCCACCATAC